GTCTGTGCTTGCATTTTTTTTGGTTTGTTTTATAAATCAGTTACCTATGGCGCTTAGATTCCTTTGTTTGCTGTTTCTCTTCCATAATCATCAAACCTTTATTAATAATTATTTGTGCATACAGCTAAATATAGCTTTCCTTTTTCTTTCTATAAGTGTTTCTTTAAAACTATCTATACATGGATAGAAAAATATGCAAAAAATTTTTTGTTAGGATATAAGATTGTGAGTGTCTGCATTTATACTTAATGTTTTTTAAAATAAATATAAATAAAAATTTATCAAATGGCATGATACCTAAAGTAAATACTAAATGCTCTAGTTCTTTATTAAACCATATTAAGTTGTAGAAGGTTATCAAATTCAAGCAACCATTGTGATTAAAGTTAGTATCATTCAGAAATTCTTAACCTTAAAAATTAGTTAATAAACATCTGTTGTAATGAGGCAAAGTGGGGGTGGAATTAAGAAAAAATAAGTACACTTGTTCAGTTTTATTTTAATGATCTGGGAAAATATGTGCTAAACATCCTAGAGGACAGTGATCAAAATCACTTTTGAAAAGTTGGGCCTGTCTTCAAAATGGAATTTTCAGAACTCAACTAGATCTTTTAAAAAATGTATATATATAACCACTAAAACTTGCTTTTACATGTCACTGAATACTGTGGAATCTGGGTTTGGAAAAACTTGTCATACTATTAAGTTAACTTTATATGACACTTTAGGTATTGTACCATTTGATGAATTTATGTTTTATGCTAGGGAACAGTTTTTAAAGATCTATAATAAAGATATGTATTATTGTTTCACTCTTTAATATCCAATTCAGCACTTTTCTCAAATAACCATTGACTGAAATAAAACCAGTTTCCACATTTTATATACAAAAGGCTTAATATTGTACATTTTTTGCATTGTTGGAAAATTTGGTTAAATGTAGGTAACTTATAATAGTTTATAATTATATCAGTGATTTTCATTTAATAGAAACTCTTGAGCTATTGTATATTTTTGTCAAGAGGATTAGGAATACAGTCACCTCTTTATAAATTATTTTAGGCAAATTTTAAACTTCACCTTAGATATTTCTCTCCGCTCATATACTTTTCTTTAGTACTATTCCCTTGGTGTTTGTTCACAGAAGCAAATTAATTTCAATATTAGCTTAAGCAAAATATGATTAGGAAGATCAGTCTGCTATAGAAGTAGTCATTATATATTTCAAAATGAAATACAAGTAATTTCTAAGTTGTATTCTGTTTTGGATAGTCCATAGTACATCTCTGCTTATCAAGGATAATTATGATTCAGATACTCTTAATTTTAACCTTGACTGACATCATTACAATTTAAGACACTTAATCACAATTTAGTAGATAGGTGTATCTTTAAGATTGTGTTATCACATATATTACTGCTTACTGATTTTAATTTTTAAAAAAATATATATTGATTTCAGGGAGAGGGAGAGAGAGAGAGAGATAGAAACATCAATGATGAGAGAGTCATTGATCAGCTGCCTCCTGCACACCCCCAAGTGGGGATGAGCCCGCAACCCGGGCATGTGCCCTGACTGGGAATCGAACCTCGATCTCCTGAATCCTAGGTCGGTGCTCAGCCACTGAGCCATGCCCAGCCAGGCACTGCTTACTGATTTTAAATTGCTGATGAAGCAGCTGCAATGGTTATTTTGTTTTTATAATTTTTAGACCTGAAGCTAGAAAATCAAAGTCCCAAGAAACTTCATATGTAATTTTAAACTAATACAAACGAAAACTGTATTTGCCTATAGCAGTTTAAAGTATATTCTGAATCTTGTAGTATTCGTCACCGTATTAAGCCTGTGTTTGTTAAAAGTTATCCATTCTGTTTATGTTGAAAGTCTAATTCATGTGAATGTGCATTTTTGTGCCTATTATTCATGGTTATGCCATGAAGATAGCATTACACAGGGTAATAACCAGTGCTTATTGAAAGTCTGTGATGGGTGAGGCACTTTACGAATAATTTAGAATTTAATTTAAGCCTTATAAAAACTCTGTCAACTAATCATTATTTCTATTTCACTATAAGGATGTCAAGAATCTTGATTACAGTCGTGTAAGCAAGTTAGTGGAAGTTAATTGTATTTAAACCCAAGTCTGACTCCGGTACTCATATGTGTTTCACTGTGACATATTTTTTCTTCATAACATGTCATTTCTGTGGACTGTATAAGTCATAAAAAGTTAACCTCCTTTTCAGTTAACTTGATATATGAAAATCTTGATGAACCAATAGACAGACTTGGGGTATTCTTTGCTCTTGTTAGATGATTCACATCATGTTCTTTAAATGACATGACATTAAAAATATTACTTGCTTTCCCAAAATTCAGCTTTTCACTCAAGTTTTAAGAGTACCTGCATTGTGCCCTGGCCAATGTGGCTCAGTGGTTAGAGCAAAACACCCCACCCACCCCCATCCTTGGCACTGAAGGGTCACGGTTTGATTTCCTGTCAAAGGCATGTACCTGGGTTGCAGGTCAATCCTGGACCTGGTCAGAGCTTGTGCAGGAGGCAACCAATTGATGGGTCTCTCCCATCGATCTTTCTCTCTCTCTCTCTCTCTCTCTCTTTCTCTGTCTCTCTCTTCCCCCTCCCTCCTTCCCTTCCACTCTCTAAAAATCAATGGGAAAAATGTCCTTGGGTGACGATTAACAACACAAACAAACAAAAGAGCACCTGCATGATGAGATTTTATGAAGTGAGGCAAACCCGTATTTTCATATTCTATATCCAGCACATACTTCATGCCAGTTTCTAGGTGTTAGAGATATACGTGGCCTGCAGAAAGCAGACATGGTTCCTGCTGGCTCTGGAACTAGTGTACCTGGGTTTCAAATCTTGGTTCCACCTTTACTTCCTAATAACTGTATGATCTCAGCAGGGTTCTTAGCCTTCTAAGTCTCTGTTTCATCTGTAAAAAGGAATTGACCTTTCTTAGGGTCAACTGAGGATTAATTGAGATAATATATGTTCATAGCCTGGTATCTGGCATGTGATAAAACGGTAAATGTTACCTTTTATATTATCTTAAAAATAGCATTTAAAGTATAAGTAATATTCTTTTAAAAAAAATAACCAAACAAGATTAATCAGTATCATCTTCAGTCTGGGATAGTAGTCATCTTTCTTGTATTATTTGAAGTCTCATAAGTGTTTCATTTGTTCTGTGTGCTGTCATATACATTTTAGAAATAATAGTATACCATAGCTATATTTTATTTTTCATATTTTAAGACAGTGCTACAATGACTGTGGGAAAATTCCAAATACAAGAGTACATATGTTTGACTCATGGCAGGTATAGTAACCTACTTTTTATTACCTTTTTTCTGAAAAAGAAGATAGTCACTTTGTGATTTATTCTTTGGAGAAAAGATTTGAGGAAGAAATTCTTCAGTGACTGCAAACAAAATTATTAAGACAGCTTCATTCTGACTTGCAATGGCATTTTGCATGACTTCTTGAGTTTTTTTAAATGGGAAGTGTTTCCAGATATTTTTAGAAAACAGTAACATTTAAAAGTAGATATTTTCTATACACTTACAATATGATTTTGTAAATCCAAGAGCAAGTAATTTTAAATTTTAAAAGATACATTTATGAAAAGTTACACAAGAGTAATCAGTCTAGTCAGATTTACTTTTAGATTATTAAATTGTTTTAGGATATCATGATTTATCAGAAGCTTGAGGAGTAAATACATCTAAATACACCCCTAGTGGGGTGGTTCAGTTGGTTGGAGTGTCATCCCATATACCAGAAGGTTGTGGATTCGAGCCAGGGTCGGGGCATGTACAGGGGGCAACCAATTGGTGTTTCTCTCTCTCCCTTCCTGTCTCTCTAAAAATCAGTAAACACATATCCTTGGATGAGGATTAAAAAAACTTTTTAAAATGCATCCAGATACAGTTTTTTTAGAGACAGACATAAAAATGAATGACAAGTTTCTTTAAGCAGTGGTTTCTATCAGTAGTAATTTGTTATATATAATAGTTAAATTCTCTATTGTGATTTGATGCAAAACCTTTTAAAATTTCTAAGGAGATTTGTTCAATTATCTCCTGTTAAAAGACATGTCAGGACCATTTTTATTATCTGTAGTGAAATACTCTTAGAGAAAATCTTGCTTTGACATTAAATCACTACCGTGTCTTTTATTACCAAAGTCCAAATGCCAAGGAAAAGTCACCTCATAAGCTGAGTAGGTATATAAAGAGTTCAATTTCTAAACCGCTAAAATAGATTTCACTATTTTTTTATTTTCATAGTTTCTTTAAATTCTGATTAAGCCATTTTCAAGTACATAAGAGAAAAGTTGATGTTTTAGTAGATGCATTTTTTTCGTATTGTACATAAAAGAAGATTGTATGATTGATGTGGAGTGTTTTTTTAATGTGGATTTTTAAAGGACTTCTTTGTATAATACATTTTTAAATATTTTTCCTAGTACGTACAGCCACTTTTTGTGTCACCTTAGATGTTGTAACTGTATGACAGTTATAGTTCTGAGAATATTAGCTTTGCTGCTAATTTTTTCTAAACTTATATATATAAGCCAACTTTTGGCATATATGCTAATTTATGTAACCTCAGTAAAGATTTTCAGAAATCTTTTGTTGAAACTTATTAAAATTAAGATTTAGATACAAGTTTTAATGGTTAAGTTTGTAAGAAATTTAAGATGTCATTTGTTCTTAGACTCCAAAGAAATAAGTAGCATAGAAATAATTAGGTGTTATTTCGGAGAAAAAAAATACACTCACATTTAAAGGTAAGCTTCTAGATTATTTCATTGAGACAGCTGTATATAAAACTTAATTTTAAAAATTAACTTCTTGTTTAGCATGAAGTAAAGAAATTAAACACAACTCAGTAAGAATAAAAGAATAATGTTTAGTGATGTTTATTTAATATTTTTGAGCTTGAAAAATGAATAAATATTTAGGGTAATTCTGAAAATGAACTCCTGTATTATTCTAATACCATACTCTGTTGAGACTAAGTTATTCTTGCTGTGTTGGAGCTCAGCCTGCAAAGAAATAAATTTGCTAATTTTTGTCACTTGCAAGACCAGCCAGGGTTACTGTAGCCTGCCAGTTGACTATATCAGTGCATAATATTGTGTGAAATCATCAAGTGCTACTATTTGTTTTAAAAGTGACACATGTAACTTTTTATTATAATGATTAAGCAAAGAAGCTAGTAGTGCTTTTATTTTTTATTTTCATTTTAAGCATTTTTCTAGGAATTTTCAGCAGTATATCAATTCAGCTGTAATTCAAGTATGCAATACAGAAACTGTAACTAAGCTTTTGATGCCTCCCATTAAAAATTAAATCAATAGCTTTAATACCTTCTTACACTCTATTTGGTTTCACTATGTTCTGTTTTGGTAGATCTACATATTTATTTTGCTCTCCTTGGTTAATTTTACCAGTTCAGTTTCTTTGTAGATTTTTGCCATAAAGTAAAAAGGATTTTAAATCCTGTAGCCCCTTCAAATATTTTATTATATTACCATTTACTTAAATGAACGATAATGTACATATTTATTGTGAAAGTACCCAAGGCATTCTGATTAAAAGGACAGCTTAAGGAAAAATAAGCAAATAGCAAAAGCATTCAGTCTTTATTTACAATGTATAGAAGATCACTGTTTTCAATTTAAGTGTAAGAGTCTGATGAGCAGGAAACACTAGAGAAGGACATCTTTAGCAATAGAATTTACATACCGTTAGCTCACAGTAATTGATTAGCAGCAGGGCTCTGAGTACAGAGCTAGCTGGGCACATTATTTGGGATGCCTTTGATGCCGTGGTTTTCCGAAGCTTGCTGGCTGCATGCTTGTTGCCTTTGTTCGTGACACAGATAATTACTTGATAAAATGAAGTGCATCGCTGTGAACAATTGACCCTTTGGAACAGTCCAGGCTGGTCAACAGTCTAAAACCACACTTTAAAGCCATCATTATAGCCTCAAACTTAAGAGTTTCCAAGGTACAGACAAAGGTGTTGTCTTCCTTTAGGACAAGTCGAGTGCCATTTTCAGACTTTATGAAGTATTTAAATTGAATGATATTTGACGATACTGAAAACTCCTCTGGAAAACCATCCAGCCTGCTTTTGGACACCAGAACAATGCGAGATTTGATTTTTGTTATGAAATCAGGAGCATTACAGAAGATTCTCAGTCCTTGTGAGCGATCATGGTTATCTGTTATTTCCAAGAAAGTAGTCTCTCTGGATGTTAGCTGTTCTTTCTCCCATCTGGATTTCACTTCCTCCGCCAGTCCCTTGAGCTGAAAGAATTCTGCTTCTTGTGCAAGAAGTTGATTTTCTCGAAACCCTTCGGGCAGTAGAAGTTCTCCATTTCGTAGGAAGTTTAGGACATGCCTGAAGAGGAGCCCATCCCTGTCTATGAAATAATGACCATCAGCATCAGACGGGCAGAGGATTTTTCCATTTACTATACCTTCAAGGAAAGTGTCTGGGTACTTGGTCAGTGTTTGCTTTTGAGTAATGTATAAATATCCACCAACGTTGAGGGTCATCAGTGAGGATGTGCAGTTTTTTCCTTGCTCAGCATCTTCCAGGGTGTTGTGTTTCCCTTCATATTCCTTTTCTTTTTCTCTTCTGTTTATTTTACGCTCCATTTTTGAAAATGCTATTTCAGCTTGTTCTTCTTGGATTTGAGATTTTTACAACAGAAACTGCCACACAAACACGCCTTTATTCAGCTCCAGCCTGGTGATGGAATGGAAATGCTGGCAGCATTGCTTGCTCTGTCAGCTCGGTTTTGCAGTAGGTGGCGTATCAGCTATGTATGCAGGAGCTTTCTGGAGTAAGACGAGGGGGGGAAAAGATAATTTGCATTTAACTGTATCAGGGAAGGAGTTTGTTGTGAAAAGATTTTCATGTATATTTTCTGCAGTAATAAAAATTACTCAGAATAAATTAAACTTATTCTTGGCAGTTAAGCAATTACAACTGTTTAATTCTCCAACTAAGTGTGAGTTTTTATCCATTTCTAAATGTCTACTAAGATATTACTTAATAAGGCAGGCTTAATATTGAATCATACTGTCATCTTTTGGAGAATACTATATAATGAATTAGTCTCATTTTTAAAGTAAATTATAAATAGGAAACCTAAAGAGAAATGAACTAGGTGTGTAGGATTTTCTCTCCTATAAAAAGCCGCACATTTCAGTGGTATAGTCATTTTCGAAACCTAAATGAGACCATTTAAACCTATTACCTGTGACATTGCACTTGAATTTAATTGGATTTATATGTGATTTTTTTTTTTTTTTGGTATCTTCAGCAAGTGAGAAGAAATTTTCTTAATATCCTTTAATAAAAGGTCCTGCTTTTTTTGTTTTTTTACCCTAAAGGTAAAAAATTAAATACACAAGCTTTGCAATAATTATTTACATTTTTTTTGGTTAAGATTTCCTATGGAATATGTATAAGCTTGTTTCACCCTAAACCTCCTTCAGTGCTGAACAAAAGACTTGGACTGATGTAGAAAATATAACTCTGTGTATGTGTGTGTGTGTGTGTGTGTGCGCACACACACTTGTGTTTGTGAAGATAAAAGACAGATTCAAAATACCTACTATAAAATATTGTCATGGGAAAGCCGGTTTTTGTTGCTGTTGTTTTCAGTGTTCAAAAAGGATGAGAGAAAGAACCAAAACTTAAGCTGTTTTTTTTTTTTTTAAAACTTGGGAGCAGGAACAACATGTGTGTATGGTGTTTTTCTCTTTTCTTTTTTTCCCTTCTTCCCCTGTAACTTGCCTTCCAAAGCATTTTAATGATCTGAGCTTTCAATTCTAGAATTTAAAGGCCCATGGTAAGAAATGTGAACGGTGTCCTCAGCACTATTATCTGACTGGTCTCACTGCTAAATTATTCTGGGCAACTACATTGTTTTCAGAATCATGGGACTAGATTTTATATTACATTGATTTATATTTCTTTTACATTAAAATAGGTATTTTTAAATTCTTCAGCTGTATGTTGATAGAAATATTGGAGCAGATTCTTCTAAACATGTTTACTTTATATTTTCTCTCAATGTTAGATTTTTTTAGTTACAAAAAAAAATTATATTAGCTCTAGCTGGTGTGGCTGTTGGTTGGAGCATCATCCTATACACCAGAAGGTGGCGGGTTTGATTTATGGTCAGGGCACATAACCACGTTGTGGGTTTGATCCCCAGTTAGGAAGTGTGTGAGAAGCAACTAATCGATATTTTTCTGTGTCCCCTCCCTTTTCTCCCTCCCTCCCTCTCTCTGAGATCAATAAAATAAAGTCCTATTTTTAAAATTTTATATTAATTATAAAGTTTTTTTAATCCTTACCCAAGGATATTTTTTACGTTAATTTTTAGAGAGAGTGGAAGGGAGGGAGAGAAAGAGAGACAGACAGACAGATAGGCAGACAGACAGACATCGATGTGGGGGAGACATATTGGTCGGTTTCCTTCTGTACATGCCCCCAACAGGGCTGGGAATTGAACCTGCAACCCAGATACATGCCCTTGACCGGGAATCAAGCCCGTGACCCTGAGGTGCTCAGTCTGACTCTCCAACCACTGAGCCACACCAGCCAGGGCAATTATAAAGATTTGTAATTTAACATTTATACATCATTGAGAATATCAAAAGTCCATTGAAATCAAACTAGAAATCTAAGGCATAACATTTTTTAGAGCTGAGTTTTGCTTAAAGACCATGAAATTTAACCTCTTCATTTTATTAAAAATAAAACTGCAATCTAGAGAATTTTAGTGTTTTATCTTGAACTTTATAGCTTATTAATGACCAACACTTATACTAAAGCTTCCTCTCAGTCCTGCATCATTTAAAAAGAGTTTACTGTTATATTTTGACAGTTTCACATGTATGTTAACTTCCTTTTTTGGAATCAAGTCTCTTCTATGGGTATGACTTTTTAAGACGTAGTGAATAGATTGGGGTTTTTGGGTACAACTTTGGAAATATATTCATGGAATTCTTATGTTAATCATTACTGCACATTAGTAACACCATATAAAGGTAAAGTCAACAAAAGTTCTTTTTATAAATGTTATGGGACATCAGAATCAATAGAACATAACTGTAATATAGTGGTAGAAACTGCTAGCATTTTCTTTGTACGTTTAAAGTGATGTGATTGGATACTATGTAATGCTAGGTCTGCTTCCTTACACCCTGTTAGGCCCATTTGTAGATGCTCTTCATGGGGAAGTGAAGCTCGTGCTGCTAGAGGATGGGCTTCCATGGGGTGGGAAGGTGAGGCAACAGAAGTTGGATGGCTGACCTCTTCAACCATCACTCCGTGGCTGCCTTACATTTGCTAACTCACTTCTGGTTTTTGCTGCCTGTTTTTTAAAACTGATGCTTGTTCTTTGTTTCTGTTGTTTGTTTTGACAGACTGAACCACCCCATCATGTACCTCTAAACCTGGCCACTTTTTCTAACTCTAGGCTTCACTCTGGTGTTCTTGGCTTCTGCAAACTTGTTGTGTATGATTTGTTTGCCGCCTGTGGCCTGGCACCAACAGTGAGATGGAAGCCTTGTCTAAGACCCTGACTAGAATCTGATAGGAAAGCATAGGACTCTTTTTCTGTGTCCTGTTGCCCCCACTTGGAGTCTTAATAAAGGGAAATGGCATGCAGTAGGCCCCACCTTACTCTCATCACTCCATGGTATCCCCATTAAAACAAGATGATTGCAGTTTACAGAAATTGCAGGGGGTTGTTCATCATTGCTGCCTGTTGTGGTCCACATGCCCCTTAGGAGAAAGCCAGCTGTCTTTTTTTTTGGTCTGTTCTAAATTTATATTTACCTGCTTGATGGGGGATGGGGGTGGGGAGAAGATATGCTGGGGGTAAGCTTGTGCTAGGTAATGTCAGTGGGGTCCACACAACCCTAACTATGAAAATGGTGCTTCAGGACCAAAGCCAAGGGAAATATCCATGGTTTATGTGACTACATTTCTCTGCCTTACTACAGATACTACCTGGAATTAATCAGTTCAGTCGTTTTTGGCAGAAGAGCTTAACCCACACATCAATGATTAGATCACATAGAGTCACTAGACTTGACAATTTCATCTGCTTTGCAGGCAGGAAGATTTTTATTTTGTTTTACAAGTAAGGACCCTATTTTCTCTTTTTTCTTTCTTTTTTTTTAAATCCTCACCTGAGGATATTTTTTCCATTGCTTTCTAGAGAGAGAGAGAGAAACATCAGTGTGAGAGGGACACACTGATTGGTTGCCTCCTGAAAGCACCTGGACCAGGGCTGGGTATTGAGCCTGCAGCCAAGGTATGTGCCCTTGGCTGGAGTGAAACCCGGGAATCCTTCAGTCCGAGGGCCAACACTAACCACTGAGCCAAACCAGCTAGGGCAGGACCCTGTTTTCTACTCAGTACCTTATCCCTTTATTGGAGTTAGATAAGATGTCTATCTTAGACATCTATATATCACACATATACAGGGCTCTTTAGCCAACTTTGAGGATTTAAACAATGCCATTGTCAGGTTTGTGATATGAGTATATCCATTTGTTAGGCCCAATTCCTAACCAAATTCCAGCTAAATCTTTCAGTATATCGTGATGCTAATCTTCCATTTTCTGCTTTAGGCAGAACTTATTCCAGGCCAGTGGGAGGCATTCCCATCTTATCTACCAACTCCTGATGGGAAATGATGTCACTGTCATCACCATAATTGAATACGAGAAACATTCATTTTGATATTCAGCTATGACTGTTTTACTTTAGTGTCTTTCTGTGTGTTAAAAAATAAATTTCAGAGTAATGTATTAACATATTTAAAGAATCAAGAATTTATTTAATCTAAATCTGTTTGAAAGTCCAAACTTTTGTTTTGTTTTGTTTTGTTTTGTTTTGTTTTGAAATATAAAATTTGTCTGCGTTAGATGTTGTCTGATACTGGGATTGTACTAATACAGGTGCATACTACCTCACCTACCTTATGTTGCTGATTGACCACAGTGTCTAACCAACTATGCGGCATGCTTGTGTCCTCCTGGGACTCACTAAATATAACCTTTGGCACGAAGGTGATTATGGGTGGATAGTTCCAGTCAAATGAATACACTTGTAAGTGTTTTACAGTGTTGAACTGGGTCTTCAAAGAAGCCCAGGAAACTCTGCTATATCGGCAAATTTTTAGCCTCAGTTGAGGAGTGTAGAGAAGAATAAAGCACTATGTGTCAAAAGGAGCACAAATAAAAATGACAGACCAAATGATAAATTCCAGCAAAAATCCATCCGTATTTCTTTGCTTTCATTTCAGAGGTAATCTTGAAAACAATTTACAAATCATATTAACTAATGTTTTAAATGTACTTTGGGAGATTAGTATTTCAGGGAAACCTGTGTTTTATAATTCTGTAAGTAGGAGTCATTTAAGTTTTTTAAAATGAGTTATCTCTTTTTTGAAGTGTAGCCTATGCATTATTATTCACTGGGAAATTTTATTGTAACCAGCCAAGCACTTCTATAACCACCAAATGAACATTGAAATTGTTTTGAACTCATTTTTATAGTTCTATGGCAAAACAGAATTTTGCCTTCTCTTTGAAAAGGGGATATTATAAGTTAATAACCATTATCTACATTCTCAAAGTGGGGGACATGACTTAAATTTATGAAAATACTATTACTTTGAAATCAGTGACCAAATGGGCCTCTGCTCCCAAATGCTGTCCCCTACCACTGTTCCTTCTGTTATCCTCTTATCTTTAGATCCTCTTGTATCTTTAGTGGTGAGATGGTGTGGAGGAGAGAGAAGGGA